CTCCTCTCTCTCTCTCTCTCTCTCTCTATTTCTCTCCTCGCCACCGTGCAACACGGGGCTTAATGGGAACCGGTGAAAAAGAACAAGCGGCCGCGACGCATCGACCATCTGTCCTCGTGAAAGAAGAAAAGCGTCTCGTTCGCATGCCACGACCATAAGGCCGCCTCATGCAAAAGAGAAATTCGCCTGATGAATAGTACGACCGAGTTACGTGTGTTCGTAGGGGAGGTGGGGGGGGGGGGTGGAGAGAGGGAGAGACCTTATGAAACTCGTTTGTCGATTCATAGAGGAGAGGATTGAGCAACCACTCGTTTCCAAAAATTCGAACTCGAAGCTAAGGATGAGAATAGGGAATAAATTTTTATTATCATCATGATTGTTGTTGCTTGATTTCCTTGATTTTATGATGGAGAATTTTGGCGAATGTTCTTTCTCTGCAATGTTCGATATTAAAAAAAAAATTAATTAAGTGGATGGATTAGAAGTTTGTTTCAGATTGCGGTTAAAATTGTTATTTCACGCGCAATTAATAAAAATATTATATATTTTAGCAAGTTTAAGTTCTAGGAAAGTGTTATTAAAATCTCGTAATGATGGGAGCTTTAAATTAAAAATGATCTTGCATTTCGAAAATAATTTTTTTTAATAATATAAACTTTATGCATCATTTCAAGAAATTAGTTTTAATTCTAAATTTTGTTCAAAAATTTCCGATTAATTTATTGTTTTAATAATTTAATGTGTATAAAGTTTTAATAAAAAAAAAAAAATCTTTTGCGATATTGTTAAAATTGGAAAAAGTCAGGCAATAATTACTAAACTATTCAATTACCCTGTTTTTGAAAAAACTTTTCAAAACCTGTTTTTTATTTTTTGATAAAAATAAAAATTGAAAACTGAGATGTTTTTTTTCATATGAAATATTACATCGATACATTCAGATAATTTTATAAAATTATTGCTTATTTTTGAAACTTTTCTCTCATCACTTCGAATATTTTTATTAATGAAATAAGATTTTACAAATTTATTATTTAAATCATCGTATTAAATCATCTTGACATCTGTTGAGCATAGTATTTACCTATCAATATATTATTTCGTCCAACGTGAATTTTATAAATAGATCAGTCATGCAGATTTCTTCGTGACATCACGATCTATGATTGATCGTTTTAGAAAGTGTACCGCTATCAATGGACATCGCTTTAAACATTTATAACATGAACATTTAACTTGCATACTATCCTAATGTGTCTTGGAATGTGATCAAATTTTGATGTCAAAAGAACTTCAAGGTCATATCAAGGTCGTAAAGTCAAAAATAACCAAGGTCATAATTTAAACATGTTATATGGAACGAAAAAAAAAAAAAAAATAAAATGATTTTCTGCAAAAGAAAACAATAATTTTTCTCTTCAAATATCGATATTTCTCTGTCAAAACACGTATATATAAATACAGGATAGCTATAAAGCATAAATAAATATGTTTCTACGCAAACGAAAAAATTAAATTCCGTTCCAAAATCTACCGTTCAAATTATTGTTTTATTCAACAATCGGATATATTATACAATTAACAATATTAGATTTTCAATGTTTAACAAATAAGAAATGAAAAATACAATGTATTCACCTCCTACATTTAAAGCGTTTTAATCAAACGGAAAATAAATATTTCATTTATCGTCGAATCCGAATATAAATATTAAATAATATTTGTCCGTAATTTAGAAATTAAATTAAAATTGTGTCTTCAAATAGTATTTACTTATAGAAATATCTGTTTTCCAATATTTGTTTTAATCCAAATTTTCCTCAATTCTACACGTATATATAACACATGTAATTCAATTCAAACACGCAAGAATAAATACATCAAACAGATGTATTTATCCACGTCCATTTATGTACATTTAAAACTTGTAACTCTACAAGTTCAATTTCCCCGAGCTTAAGTCCATAACGTATAATATAATATTTGGATATCACGTATTAATACATTACACGTATTAATATATTAATACATTTTTAAAAGATCGATTTTAGAGGCTAAAACAAACACAGTTAAATTATTAAATAAAAATATCGATTAAATTTTATTTATTAAGGTATACGCAATTGAAATTTCCAAATTAGATGCAAGAAGCAAGAGAGTGAAATAACTATCGTTACATTATTTTACTACTGTCATTTCCTTAGTTTATAACTTCGATCGCTTATAATTTAATAAATAAAACTCAACCGACATTTTTGCATGCTAATTTTTATTTTAATGTTTAGAAAAGACTTTTTAAAAATATCTTAGGAATATATCAATAGCTTGTATACACTCAAAAAGGACTTTTATAATAAATTTTGAATCCCCCTTTTTTTTTTATCACGATGAAGAAGGAAAATTTATTACACCAAGAGAACTCATCATTTCGATTGGATCAAGTAAAAGTGACGAATCAACGAAACGTCTCTCAATCTTTTTGAAACGCGTGTCAACATGGGACTAAAAGTGTACAACAAATGTACAGATGCTGTGTATCTAATTCCATCGTCATGTGTTTTCACACGGTCGCTTTATTAATTATGTATGACGTTTTTTTAATTAAACTCGAAGGACGAATCTCATAATTCATAAATTAGCGATTTAAGTATATTTTAAAGATAATACGTTCCAAAATAACTTTTTACCGATCGCAAGATTAATTTTATAAATTATTAATTTCGTAAATTGTTGATTTAAGTTTAAAAATTAACATAGTTGTCTATAATATGTATTTCGAAATTAATAATTACACAATACATCTTAAAAAAGTTTTATAAAATTGAAAAATTATTATTAAAATTAAAAATTTGATACACAAAAATGTTGAGTACGAGTAATGCCTCGTTCAATTATATTGATCAAGGTCTTAAAGAAAAAAAAAATTCACAAGTATCATTTTTTGCTTCCGTTACAGTTAATATAATTTTAATATAATGTAATTTAATGTTATTTAATAATGTGAAACAGAGACAATATTAAATAATTTATTAACAGATCGTAAACATAATTTCGAGTAGAATGGCATCAATGATTATTATTTGATTCGTAGAAATAATCTTCGATTCGTCAAGCTTCTTTTTTAATTCAAATAATGACTTAAAAAATTTACGCAAGAAAATGGAAGAGAACAAATTAATTTGAACAATTTCAATGAACTTATTTTTCTCATAAAAACAGAAAAATCTTTTCTACTTAAAAGCATCCTACCATATTTTTTAAAAGAAACATAATTTTTACCAGAGTTGAAGCTAATCTAACAATAGTTCTAAGAACGAAGTCGTGCATACGAAGAGGAGAAAGAAGCCATCGACTCTGAGATGCGACGTTGAAATAAAAATTTACACTCTGCTACGCTTTCCTCCATCTCTATCTTATTCGTTTGTTAACCCGTTTATCCTTCTCTTTCTACTCCTTTCTCTCAATTCCCTTTTCTCTTCCCCGCCTCACGCTATTATCCCCACTCAATCCAATCCCTTTATTTCTCTCCATCTCGCTCATGACATCTACCGTTCTCTTTGTCTATAATACCTCTTCTCCTTTCGACTCTCATTTCTTTTCCTTTTTATGGAAACGAGAGAAGAATCGGAAACGCGTATCTGGAATCGTCAACGGACCGAGTCAGCGCGAACTTCACTTGAAACAAGAGCGAAATCCCTCTTTTGAAGCGACAACAATTTAATTTACTGTTCGTTCGTTCGAACTGAACGTAATGCTCGCGAAATTTGTTAATATCGGGCGTGACATTAGTTTAACGCTCGTTGAATGCACGAAAATCACGAAAGCCGATTAATGATCGCTCTGAATCTCTATTTCTGCTTGAATATTCGAGACAAAAGCGAGATCTCGAAAGACTGGTTCTCTCTTCTAGCTTCTACGCGAATATAGACTACGAAATCAATTGACCGCTCAAAGTCAATAGGCAATGAATCCCCACCATAGACGAAATTTGTATAATCTATATTATGCTGAAATGAAGTGATTTTATGTTTATTTCAATGAACATCTTAATTTGTGAAATTTTAATTTAAGAATTAGATAATTTCAATTGAAACTTTTTTATGAATTTGTTATATTCTTCTTAACATAAGAAATGTAAATAAAAATGTATATAAAAATAAATAAAAAAATAAATTTTAGATTTTTTTTATTAAAGATCGTAACAACGTTTATACTGATATTTATATTGACTTTCATTAAGACAGAAAAATACTATTTTATTTTTTCAATATTTTTAATTTTAATCGTATGAATGATATATTTAATTACATATTTAAAATTAACAATTCTAATCATATGACTAATAAACAAAATTTTTTAAACAATAATAAAATTTTGAAGTCATTCAATAAATGTCAACTAAACTCGCAATGTGAATAAAAAGACAAATGTCATTCGAAGATATTTCACGGTCAGGAAAATAATCTTGAGCAGTCAATTAATTTTAGTCAAAGTATAATAACAATAGTTTGGTCGATCTTGTCATTCATGAACGTTTTTCAGGGAAATCGTGCCAAATAGACCGATTAAAATAATGTAACAGACTTATCTCACGTACCCTCGAGCAATAATAGTTAATGCTCAATCGACGATCCGCTGTGATTCCCCCTTGTTCTTCTCTCTCGCTTGACAAGAGCGCGGCCAATAAACCGAAAGCTCTTTCTGGGTCTCGACTAGTGGTGTTGCCGCTCGTGAACGACCGCGCACACGAAAACGTTCTTCTCTTGCTCGCGTGATGTGAGCTTAAACCACGAGAGATCAATGCACGGCAACAGGAGAAAAAGAGAGGAGAGAAACAAAGAAGCCGTTCTTTCAGGGTGTTCACTCGAACGTGTGTGAACGTGACTATACACAACTCTATTGGATATATATGTTACGTATATGTGTGTGTTACGTGACGAGCACTCCATACCACTACGGATCTTAAAAGAAACAGGAAAGAATTACGACACCGTAAATCTTAACCGACTATTCGAAAGCGAAACGTGGCGTCGTGGAAAAATGCAAGACGACAGCCGTTTATTGTGATCTGTGTATTTTGGTTATTTACGTCACGCACGGCTTTCGCCCTGGCGAAAACAGATTTGTAATGTTGGCAGCAATGGCTATTAGTATCGGTTATGTTTCCGAATCACGTGATAGAGAATTTAAAAGAAATGCGTAAAAGAAAAGAGGAATCTAACAAAATATATTTCTCGAGACTTGTTTATAAAGTTGTGAATCATCGACGGAGTAGTCGCGATGAGATATGTATGTATGTATTTATGCAAATAAGCCTAATAATTCTGTGCCGATAACGTCCTCTCGATTAAAATATTACGAATCGTTGAATTCTTCTAGGAAATGCTCACGACGATATATTTTTTTTCGATCGTGATCTTTATCAATTTAATTAATTGCAAATTACTAAATATTTATATTTCATATATCTAAAATTATTTATAAATAATAATTTTCTTTTATAAATAAATCAATTAAATCACTTATCTCGATTTTAATTGAGAATTAAAGAATTAATACATACACTGGATAAAATTTATTAGAAGAAGGTTAGCGAAATGCAAGAGAAACGAGGAGGAACGAGATAACACGGGAATTCTGCATGCATACGCGAGCAAACGCAGTATCGACTACGTCGCAGCGGTATTATAAGTGGAGTGATAAAATGAGATCATCGTTACCGCTTCTCCGCGCACTCTGACGCATACCTATATATGCGGCAGACGTGACCTACACGATACAATGACATTCGTGTATCATACATTGCAAAAAAACACAACGTATGCATATATTTACTGATGTGTTTACCGCCGGTTGGCCGAAAAACGGACGTGCACTGCAACACGGCTACAGAGTACGCTGCACGTTGCGTCAGAGTGTATACCGGTGAAGGTCACGCGTTCCAAAACGCGTGATTACGTTACGGAGTTAAAAAAAAAAATCTAGACTCGGTTATAGCTCAAAAAAATTCAGTATAAGGAAATGAAATATTATCTATTATGCTATATTATCTATTAACAATCCAATTAAGAAATATTTGAAAAGTCAAAGAGAAAAGAAAAAATTAAATTGTAAAATCAGACAGTATGAACTTGAATTAGATTAAATAATTTCATTATTTTATATTAAAGTATATTAGTATATATTAAATTTTTCTAAATTCTATCGTATAAATATATCATTGATATCCATCGTATTAATCCAAAGATCAATAAAAAATTTTTAATACTTCGAAACAGAATTTAGTAATATTCAACTTCAAACGATAATCACGATACTGAGAAAACACACTGTAAACACGAAGGAGCAACGAGGCGAGGATAGGCGTAATAACAAAGGTCACGTTCCGAGATCCAACGACGGTACACGCGTTCGTTGCCATGTGCCAATGACATGGCACACACAGGCATACGGGCGCAACCACGATGAAACTTCCCGTAGATCGAAGGAGAAAGGAAAAAACACACATATGTGTAAATATACATGCAGCAGAGCAATACTCACCTCTTTCCCTTCGTTCAATATACTCGGCGGCCTGTAGTAGGGCAGCAATGCTCATATTTCCCCGGTTTGGCGTAATTCTGGCGGCTTCGGTTCACTACCTCTTTCCCTGCAATCCCGGCACACACACCGATGACACCGCGCGCGGCGACACACAACGCGATAAACGTTCAGAACGCACACCACGAGCAACAGCCCTGTATACACCGCGGCGATCTGTATTGTTGTTGTTGTTGATGTTGTTGATGTTGGCTGGCACTGGTGTTGCCGCTTCTCGAACTTTTCTCTCCGCCCGCCTGTTCAACCGCCTCTCCTTCTCCGCCCCCTCTTCCACCACCGCCACCTCTTCCTCCTTTTCTCGTCCGTCCGCGCGCCTCGCTGGCTGCGTTCGCTTAGGTGCACGTAACACACACGCGCGCGCGAGACTAGCCCGATTTCAAACGCGCACTAGATTCACGGACGGCAAATCGATGGCCAGGCCTTTCCAACCGCGTTATGCATCAAGAACCGTCTTTTTTTTTTCTACTAGATATATCCCGTCAACTGTTTCGTAGTATTAATTTCCTTTCGTAGCCGTGTTTTCACCGTTCGACGACTTTCGATCTACCTCGTTCGCGTCTGTCTTTATCTTACTCCAAGTTCCAACTTGCCCTTCTACTCACACGCCAGTTTGCTTTTTTCTCTTTCTATGTGTTTGCTTTTCCCGCTCAATATCGTTTCACTTTACTTCTGTAGCGTTATTGTCCTTTTTTTCTTTCTCTTTCTACCTTCGTCGGTTCTCTTCTTTCTTCACCTTTGTTTCACAACATTCACTACGATCACACCAAATCACGTGAAATAAAAAAATTAACAACCGATAGAATATATGCGAGGCAAGAAAATACGACGCACCGCTGCTCCACACTTCCATACACGGAGTCGCGTGCGAGCGAACCGAAAGCGTATTCACGAATACATACACGACAAGGACAGAAAACAGCGCGCGCAAGAGAGCAAGTAAGCGCGAACGGTACAATTGAAAAGAACACTATAGTACAGTCACTAGGCGAGTCGAAAAGGTCGAGATTACGCGTGTCGCCGGTAATTTATCGTGGACGCGAGCAACTGAACAAGCGAATGAACGAATAAACGAATGCAAAAGAACCTGACCTCGATCAGCGGCCGGTTCGACTTGTGCGCGCTCGACGAACTATTATTTTTGGTCAGGAAACGAGTATCGCGTATCGTGTACAGCGTGCATGTGCATGCGACCACTTTACGTGCCGGCTACTTGTTTTGTGCACCGACCTTGAACGCGTAGATCTTACCGAGAGCCATATACCAAATGGCTGAAAAAATGGATCTAGATGTTGCGATATTTCGAATATATACAACGAATTTTATTATAGTGATTTAAATGGAATTCAAATGGAACAGGGAGAACTATTCCAAAATAAAATATAAAATTTTGAATTTTCCAAAAAGAAAATTTTCAATTTAAACAAAACTATAATTCTTTTTCTTAATCCACGAACGTAAAACTCGGTCAACTGCTCGCGAGGTCAATGATTTCCATCAAACATGCAATACGCAGTTTGCGGTAACAGATAGACACACATAGAAACCGATGTGACGTAGTATACTAATAAAACCACAATTTTACTTGTCAGAGAAAACATATATTGTCACGCACAAAATACACGCAAATCTTCTAGAAACTCGCATCATACGCGAGCGATCACAATAATATTCGTATGGTTTTCCGTTCACGATGAGCACACAGAAAGGCGCTCCCTTGATTCCGTTCTCGACTGGATTGCAAGCGACTTTTAGTACACATGCACATTACACCGCACAAACATGTCTATACACACGCACGTAATGCGAGTGAAAATATGTGTATACGTGATCGGTAATAAATGTGATTCCCATACAAGAAACAACGGCAACACGGTGGTGCATACACACGTTCACGATATGTAGAGAATACAGCGCAAGAAATGATACGCAATACACGGAGTAACATTAAAGATCACGCGAATATATATCGCGTATCTGACAATATACATAAACGCTCATTTCTGACGTTTTAATGTGAGTGGTACCTCTTCGTTGTATACATGCACAGTAAACGCATGTATATGTATAACGTCGAGGATCGAGTATATTTCGACCCTATCGTCCACCTAGTGACATTTGGCACGCCGGATACGTTCGCTCACACACGAAAGTAGGTGCAGCTGAGCGACGTCGTAAAGAAAGACGGTCACTGTGGATCGGCACTGCCTAACACTACTACTGCACAGGTTTTCGCGGGTACAAAGTGGGGGTCTAGTCAGGACAAAGAAAAGGAGGCTCGAACTGACCGACGACGACGAGCCCACGAGCCCCCGACGACGACGACGACTACAACAAGCCGACGAGCGAGCGACAGCCTGATCCGCACTTCGCGAGCACTCTCACGCATTTATCGATGTCAAACGTCTCTGCACCGTAGAAGCACCAGGCGTCGTTTCTTACGATGTTCCTGATTGGCTAAGCGGTGCGCGAGTGCACTGCCTCGGCCAATAAACGTTGATAATACGGCGCTGCCGTATGAGCCGCCACCAGCACCGGTGGTGTCACGTGAATCTCATGCCCGAAAACAAAACAAACAGCTGGCTATATTCCTTGCCTCGCTCTCTTGCACGCTATCGTGCGTGTGCTTTTGATGCACGATATTCTTGGAGTAGAGAAAAGTAGTCCCTTTTCCATAAACAATATACTAAAATTGACAAATTACATATGTAAAAATAATACATTAATCAATTATCGATTGTATGGAGAATCAGTTTATAACAATGTGATCGATTTTTAAATCTATTGAAACGCGTTCATTCTCTTTTTTTTTAATCTATAATCTTCTTGTAAAAAAAAGTACATTGTTATTCAAATTAAACTCAATATCAAATCTAAAATATCACTTAATACTTTCTTATATTAAGAATTTAAGAATGTGCATTTGAAAATTCATACAATCGCGCCATCTTTTGCAGTCTATTTGCCATTACCTATACTTTTTCAAATTGGTACTTCTGAATCTCTCGAGATCTATGTAGTGTTCGATATTGAGTTTGAATATAACGAATCTATAGTTAGATTTGATAAATTTCGTTAATTTTGTATATTATAATAATAAAAAATGTGTGTTAAAGACGAATAAAATATTGTTGATATCTGTAAAATCTATAATTTTTTGTGATTATTGTCAAAGGTTAGAAGAATTTCTTCAAAGACGCGATTTACGAAGTTGATGAGTAAGTAAAAAAATACTTATAATTTCTACATATTTTATTTGATTTCAATAATGAGGATTAATATTTGTAACAATATACTCATTTAATTGCATATATCTTCATTTTAATGATATTTATCATTTTATTGATTATTTTCGAGTACAATTATTTTCATTTGTTATGCACGTGACAGAAAAAATTGTATGTTATTTCCATACAAAACGTTTGAAATTAATATATTTGTATGCAATTAAATATAATCGATTTTATTAATAAATATTAAAAAAGTAAATAGTAAATTTTATTAAATTTTTAAATTATAAATATATAATATATATAAGTATTTATTTATATCACATCTATTCAGGTTATTCATGTAATAAAATATTTATTTTTATTACATTCTATGTAAGATAATTACTTAATTTATTAAGTACCAATAGTAAACAAACATTATGAGATATGATATAATGAAAATAATAAATTCATAAAAAAATCTGTAAAATAATCAATGTTTAAAATTTCATTATATCTTTACATTTTTTATACCATTGAAAAAATAAAACAAAGTTAAAGATTAATCAATATAAGATTTTATATGAAATTTTCTATTACTCTATTTTCCATTTCTATTATTTCAATTATTTTTATATTATCTTTCATATCTTAGCATATTAATAAATTTTTCAATTCTTATTATTTTTTTAAATATATAATTTTTTATTCTATCTTATATCTATCTTTCTTACATTCTTTTCTTGAATACATCATTTTGGTACTTATATAAATATAAGAAAATTTGTAATTCTATAAAAATAATATAAAAAATTACATGCGAGATACGGGAATAATATCAATTAAAGCAAGTGCATTTTGAAGTACAATTTGCAATGCATGTAACATGTATAACCTTGCACTCATTGTTGGAATCAAATGATCATATGCTTCCTATAATGGAAAAATTATATATAATAAATTATTTATCATGCAATAAAATTTTATTTATCATTTAACCATAAATATTAATTAAATAAATAAATAAAAGAAACTCACAGTTAGAATTCGAATTCTATGATAGTAGATACTAAATTTTTGACATAATTTTGCCAAATATATGCAAATAACTTGTGGATTTACTTGAAATATAGGATCATATTTTAAACAATCTTTTAACATTTGCTGATATCCAATAACAAAATTATATATAAGTTCCCATTCTTCCTACAAAATATAGAATTATTTATTTAGCATTTGTTTTTTTTGAATAATTGGAAATAATAATAATTTAATATCTTGTAAATGAAATACCTCTTGTTTTAATAAAGAAAAATTTATATCATTCATGTGTGGTAAATTAGGATATTCTCCTCTTAATCTTTTATGATTATACTTTTCAATAATGGCTGTTATTCTTGCTACATTATACAATATAAAACATGCACCTAAAAACTAATAATGATAGAAATTGTTTCTTCAAAAATTCTGCATTATTCGTGTAAAATTTTGAATTGAAAAAACCTTTTGTATTTGTGGTATTTTTATCAGTTGCAAAATTGCATCCAATAAAAACAGGACGACTTGGTTTTACAGATAATAATTCAAATGTACTTGTTGCTTTTGCAAGATCTTCAAAGAAATTGTTTTCTGTTTTTATATTGTATTCTTGTGCTTCAAAATATTTGTGTTCATTTGATACTTTTAATTCTTTGATTTTATTCTTAACATATTCTTGATATGTTAGTTTTATTTCCTTACAATTTGTTTCAATATTTTTCACAACACCACATATATATCGCTCATAATTTTCCTTTACATTTCCTTGCGATTTAGAGGTAAATACAAATTTATAATCAGGATTTTCATCTGCTATTTTAAACCCATGTAGATTTAAAATCTTCTCGGTGACACATTGTATTAAATATAATCTTTTAGTTGTGAGTTCTGATTCATTATCTTGAAGCGATTTTAAACTAAAAATCTTATTAATTGAAACAGTTTTTCCAAAATTATGTTTAGCTGTTATAACTGCTTTGATTGCATTTTCTATAAGGGGAGTACGTTGTAAAAACAAACAGACTCGTTCTTTTTCTAAAAGATATTTTTGTAATTTTATAGACCAAATATTGCTAGATGATATTAATAATTGTAAAACCTGAAAAAATCAATATCATCAAATATTTTTTACTCCTAAAGATAGGTTATGTTTATCTTGTTTGTGATTTATCTATTTTCTTTTATATCTTACCTGATTTGAAATATCTGCATCAGTATTATCATTTATGCTTCCATCTCTTATATGTAAAAAATGTTGTAAAATTGTTGTACACTTTCCATCACATTTATCTGTATCTTTCAATGCATTTTTCCATATTTTAAGGCTAGGTAAAAAATACAATTCACCATTTATTGCTAAATTTTCATTGTTTATTTTAACAATTGATATATTTTTGTTAGAATTACCACTTAAATATGAAGTTATATTATTTGTAAGTAATTTCATACAAATAGTTGATGTGTTTTCCATTTGTAACTCCATATGTCAGTTACTCCAATGTAACAGTAGTTTTAATAAGTTACTGTAATAATATGATTTCAAAACTAGTTTCATTTATGAAATTTATAAGATTTTCTGATATTTCATTATTTCAAATATTAAAAGTATTTGCAAGTTATATAAATTTTTAATCTGAATATTTTTTATAATTATCACATAAAAAGTAATCAAGATTAACATTAAGAATATAAAATCAAGAATAACACTAGATTGGAAAATTTTACATACTATTAGCATGCAATTTTGAATAATTAAAATATGCAAGCGAGAATAATTAAAATACCAGTTTTCAATAATTTCTTTATTAGAGTCACAAGTCGAATTGTGCAAATAAGTGAATATGTAAATATTAACATTATTATAATATTCGCTATCCTTAAGGTATACGTATATATCTTACAAAATCATCACAAAAAACAATTTTCTATTTAAGCGTATCTAGACTGACGATCGATCATTAAGTAAATTTACTCGGCCATAATACTATAATTAAATTCTATAATTTACATCGTTCTTTTTGATATCGATTATCACATAGAATGGTGATATTTCACGTATGCTATCGCAGCCAGTTCCTTGCAAAATTCTTCCGTTACGATCACACTTTCAAACAGGATATTTTCCTTTTCCCTGAAAATTGTAACCTATTTAATATCAAACAACAATAGTAATTCATTTTTTCCTCCGTTACCTACCCTTCGTGAGAACAATCTTCCAGCAATCGTTCTCGTGTTTCTTTAAGCATTTGTTTGTGATCTGCCGTCTTTGGTACTTCGTTTACCAGCTGCTTGACGACTTTTTGCAAACAAGTGAACAAGTTCTTTGTGCCGGGTGCCAGCGGTAATAATGGATTCAATAAAAATTCATGCAGGTACGGATGAGGTAAAAGGGCCAGTCTTGAGATCACTACAGTCAACTGCAAATTGACCTCATACTTTTGCTTTGGAATATTCGTTACTTTTTCGAATAGCATCGTCATGAACGGGCCCATGTAGAATCTCACGGAACAATGATCCGCTTCCGGTCTAGAATCGGAACTCGCGGAATCGTCCACAGTTATTGCTTCCAGTGGCCAGGCCATTAACGAGCAATCCGTCAACACAGTGGAGTACTGCCTTTCCAAATCAGCCATATATCGCTCGTAATTATTTACGTCCGTGTCTGTTTGTAGATAACGAGGAATCAGGGACAGAAAACTGAAAAACCGAGAACAAAATTAAATTGAAAACTGCCCGTTACATTTGCATATATTATTCTATTCAATGAGCTGAATGAAAAAAAAATTTTGCAAACATAATCACGTTCAATGATTCGTTGACAAATTTTGTCGACTGAATCATACATTCGTATTAAGGTATTAAAAATATGATTATTGTTGAATCTCAGTCGTGAGTCGTTTACAATTTTATTACATTTTTGAGACAAAAATATTCTTTCTTATAAAACTTTAATTTTTTGTAGAAGTTGGTTTTTATGATTGTAAGATTTTTTGTTAATTGCTTACCAATTTACAATTCTATGAATATTACTAGGTGCTAATGTTCGACTATGACTTTGTTCATATGAAAGATCCAGCGAACCCTTCTTCTCCCTCTCTCTTTCATCTTCCTCGTCGCTCCACGATGCAATTGCACTGTCCGCTGCGGTATTAT